ACACACACACACACACACACACACACACACACACACACACACACACATCAGAAGTAGGTGTTATTGCAGCAGAAAGACAACCGTGCATGTGTGCAGGTGAGTGAAGCAGGTGTTTATTTGGCATAAGATGAATATGGGCAGACAGCTGGCATAAAGTGGGCACCGTAAGGGGTTTTACCCTCGGATTACAGTTGAGCAGATTAGAGCTAAGCAGCACTCACCTCAAGCTCACCAGTCTCATGAAAGTTACACTGCCACGTGCACACACACGCACACACACACAGCTGTAGAACACAATTAAATTAGTGCAACTGGCAGATGGTGTGCTTACCTGACTCAACACAATACACACATTCAATCGCTGACACAAAGACGTGCTCACACACACACACACACACACACACCCTCTGGGATGCAGGACAGATGCTGCCCCCACCCTTCCTCCCGTCGCCCTCGCAAAGCCAGCTGGAGAGAGGATGAGATTTGGGGCTGATTGGTTTTGTCTTTTTTTTCATTGCAGCCTTTGCACATCGCTCCATCCACCACTTTCCCCTTTTCCTTGGCACAGCTTCGTCGCCGGATGAACCATCGTCATAAAAAGCTTTCCGAACGTCGGACAATCCGCTTGGGATGCTTTGATTACTTACAAAGTTTTTTTTTTTGCCGTTATCTTTGTTTTTTCTTCTATCTCTCTGGGTACAGAGTGGAGCAATAAAAGGACTTCTCGATTTCAGCGAGGTTTGGCACAAGCCCTCAACTACAGGACTGACATCTAGAAGGTGATGGTGGCGAATGCTGTACACTAATTGGAACAGCATCACAAAATCTCATGCAACTCTATTAGTGAGTTGATTTTTGTTATCACATTTCATAATTCATCACAAAGAGTTAAAGCTTTTTGATTCCAACTTTTCAAAACTTTGTGTCTGAATAAAATTGTGCAAAGGAACGGCATCAGACGAGCGCTTTAAACTCTACACAACGGAGTTCGTTTTATACCAAGTAGCTCTCAGAGCCTCAGTGAAACAGACAATGGACTGACAGAGGGTGAAAAGAGGAGAGACCTTGAGACAGAGAGAGACTCGGGAGAGAGAAAAAGCTGTAAGTAGGGTAAAAAAACAGAAGAGACAACACTGAGAGAACGGCAGATAACGGAGCAACCGAGGGGCGAAGGAGGAAAGAGAAGAAGAAGAGAGTTATTTTTCTTTTCCGGTCTAGGATGACTAGAGACATGATGGAACACCCTTCAGGCTAGACCTCCTCCCCTTCTACTGCTCCTCCTCCCATCTTCCCTCCCTCTCTCCGCTGCTCTCAACTAGTCTGCCAGCTTTCTTTGGCGACATTGCTTCAGTGCAACTGAGAGAGAGAGAGAGAGAGAGAGAGAGAGAGAGAGAGAGAGAGAGAG